CCGCAATACTACTCAATCTATCCCTTACCTCTACCGAAGAGTTCTACGGACAGATGCAATTTGGCTGCTGTTTCAGCGAAACATTGCGTGTCAAGAATGGAGGGACGCTTTGTGGACGAGGTGAGATTGACTCCAAAACAGTTCGTTGGATGCACCATTATCATTAAGATAGCGAACTGGATCGGCTTAAATTAATGTTACTTGAGAATAATTATCCCGTAGGCTTGATTGAAAACGAGAACCAATTTATTTAAAAAATGCAATTTTAATTAGGCGATATATACGAAGAGGTATAAAGCCGGTAAGCTCTTGCCATATTTGGTCTTTGCGTCCAAGCATTTATGCTAAAAAGATAGGCCAAATAGAAGGAACTGGGCAATGCAAATGTTTGTCAGACAAACTATGACGCCTTCTTCAATTATGCCCACTTTTAAAGGTACATTTGACGCATTATACGGATTAGGTTGCTATACCATAATGTGTCCATGAGGTCGCTTTTATGTCGGAGAGACTTGTCGTCCCGTTTGATATAAACATATATTCCAGTAAAGCTAATCGAGAACTGGTCATGCGGAATCCGCCGTCGTCTTCTGGCGGGATCAACCTTGGAATATATTCGCCAAACCATTTCAATCGAAATTGAAGTGAGCTCAACAATTATACATGAGGAGATTCCTTGAAATTACACAAAATTTACTATTAATGACTCAAAAATGGTTATTTTTTCAAGAATCGACCTATGAATCTCTTCATCGTGCACACAAGTGCGAAATGAATGTCTGCTCAACAATGCTATCTTAAGAGCTTCATCAAAACTTGGTAACTATTTTGCCTACTTTTAATCAGTCCACTTAGCAACTGTGTCCTAGAGGACGTTTCCTGGTTGGCTGCTCGATCAGCTCCGATTGTTGGACTCGAACCTTCGAGGCCTGATGCGATTGGTCATTGCTTACAAACCACCTCTTAAGCTTATTGCCTGGCACTGGAGGTATCGAGTTTCAGTTTGTTCTCTCCGACTCAGCCGTAGTCTGTGAGCGCTGAACCGAGTGCTTTTTCCCCATTTTCACTATCAAACCGATTGAGATTGCTCAGTTTCTGCTCTTTCCTTGTGTCATATGTTCTAGGGCTTGACTCCTTCAAGTTCGGAGGCAAGTGTCTTCTTGCACTATCTCACTTTGCAGTTTGTGAGTCGTAAGATTTCGAGTATCTGTTTTGACTAGAACTATCCCCCTAGGATTTAATGATGGCGCGGATCTATCTGAGAATAAGGTCAAGTATCGAATACAATGGAAGTCGAGCCTAAAACTGCGCACCACCTTTTCTCATGATTGCCTTATGAAATGATGCTAAGAGAAAACGCAGAGTCTTGGGAGACTTTGGGCATAGATTGCTGGGATAGGAACTCGTATCAATTTGGGCCAATCAGAGTGATTGAAAGAGTGATGGGTGAAATTCCTTCCAAATTGTGTTTGCTCTGAAAGTATGGCCCGACTCGGACCTCAACAATCTTCCAGTTGGCATCAGAAGACGCATCAAATGGCAAGTTGTGGCAAGAGAGTAGTAACATCCGAATCTGAAATCCAGTAGTGTGATTGTAGATGAGGCAAGCCTGCATTAAAATCGACGATGCTGCCTTCATTTGATCATAAAAAATTCAACTCTCATTCCTCAAATCACTTTAACTGAAATAGGCTGACTCGAATTCTCATTCTGATGATGAAGTAGGACAACCAATTCGAAAAACTAATTACTGGAGCCTTAGGTTCGAGTCCCTGTGGGGAAGAAATCAAATCCGCCATCAGTCTGTATAGGCTAAAGAGAGAGTGTCAAGTTCGAAAATGGGTAACTTTAGTGAAAGGGATACCTTGGCATGCAATCCATCGCGTTCAACGTAGGCGATGGCGTAAAAGATGCAAGCAAGCCAGTGTGCAACCAACGTGAATGTTGCCATCAGCAGGAGCATAACAGCCACACCATATTCCATGTAGATTTGGATGCGCCTGGCTACTCGTAAAATGCGAAGAAGACGAGTTGATTTTAACACATTCGAGATGGTGATTGTCTCCTGCGGACAGTAGAATAGAACGAAAAAGACATAAATGGACCAAAAATACGATAAAAAAAAGAAAATATGAAAATGGGTACATGCGGTAAAAAGAGAAAGGCATAAAAGCTGATGGGGAGAAGGAAGGAAAAAGTAGGAAAAAGAGAGAAATAATGAGTTGCATTTTTCCACTCAAGTTGACATAGTCCTAGACTGCAGTTTCGAGTTCATATGATTTCAACTATAATCTAATTGCCAAATTGAAACGGCAAAGTTGAGACCGTTTTCTTGTTTCACTAATTTTTTCCCAACTACATGATTTATCCTCCCATCCTAATGTCATTGATAGCTGTCACCACTGCATTGCCAACATCCCTTTAATGAGTCAATTATGACGGCTGTGATTAGTTCGACCTGCTTTTTATCGCAACCGCTGGCGATGCATTGTGTGATTTTGAGTATGTCGATATAAATCACTTTTCTCTTGTGTGATGGCAATTTCTCGCTCCTCAACATCTGTCCCGTTCCATAGGCTCTCAGCTTGTGTTACTGCTGCCCTTTCCCCATTTTCCATCATTTAATGGCCATCCTTTAATGGGATTCATTATTTCCACATTTGTTAGCAATCCTTCTTATAGCCCTTTCATTAGGCACCCTTAATTTCCTCGTATGCCTTTACCAGAAGTTTATTCAGACAGACACATAAGTGCACCCACGTGAGCACAGACCTCCTAATCTGTAGACAATTAGCCAAACGCTTACGCACGACTCATACATGCGAACGGACACACGGCAAACCTCAACCACGAAACCCGAGAGGCATACAACCGTGCAAACAGACAGAAGGACCGACGGAGGCACAAAAGAGGAGATGCAAGAGGAGAGACACCGAAGCCGTAATGACGACAAGCAACTGGTGAAGGTGTAGTTACCCAATTCTAATTATCGAAATTAATTTAGCTTCAGCTACTTTGTGTTAAGGAAATAGAGAATAGGGTGTAAACCGAGTAAATTTTCGCTCTATGCAAAATATATGCATCGTAGAATGGCGTTCGGAAGGCAGAAAGATTAACTAAATCCCATCGGGTTTTCTGTTGGTAACCAATAAATAGACATTAGCCGAACAAAGCGTCAGCTGAGAAGCGAGTCGGCGTCCGTCTCTGGTTGGTCTGAGTTGGACCTTCCACTGCCCGACCGGTCAAAGCGGAGCAGATCTTTAACTTTGTTTGGCAAAATCGAAAAGTGCCCAACTCAAATGGTGATGATAGCTCGGCCTCACAAGTGTTATCGGTGATGCCACACTACAGCCAAAATCTGCATTAAAATCTAGAATCGCTGCTGATGATCGTCTTCATTAGTTCTCCTGTCGTGAAGAGCCAATCGTGCATAATCCCCATTCTTATCTTCGCCATGATCAGTTCAACAAATGCTGTCAGCTCAGACTAAAAAGTGGCAGAACACGAACAATAACGAAATAAGGAGCAGAAAAAAACAAACAGAAAAAGACAAAGTACAGCAAGAAAAACATGATTTAGAAGAACACAAAAGGGAAGATGGAGTAGCAGCTGGCTTTTGGAGGTGAAATAGAACAACAGAAAATGGCCATCAGTTGTCCTCATCCAACAGCCGCAGTCGACAGACTCATAAAGATTCATCAATCTGTATCTCCTCGATTCGTACTGACCGTCGAATGGACAGATGCAGTTTGGAAGAGCAGTGCCATCCCATAATTTATGCAGTCGCGAAAACCCGACCATTACGTAATGGGAGAGGTACTGCAATCATAGTTAGTTTGTTGCACTATTTGTAACTGGCGCGACAGACTGTCTTCGCCCGGACAGTAGCAAATATGGGGAGACGGAAAGATGGACGGACAGATGGAGAGCTTAACAAATGGAGAAATGTGGAGATGGAGAGATGGATAAAGAGCGGAAACAAAGATGAAGAGGTAGGATGTTGGACGCAAAGATGGATAGTTGCATCAGGCATCTGATGCAACAATCGGATGCATTACCAATTGTTCTGTCACGGTCACATTGACTCTTCACAATCGAGAAAATACAATCTGAATTTGATTATTTTGTCGCGTTATTTACAGCCAGTACTACAGAATGTCTTCGTTTGGACGGCAAAAAAAGATGAGTAGATGGATAGTTAGAAAGAATATTCAGAAAGTGTAGAGATGGACAGATATAAGGACCGAAATAACGATAGGAAGATGGGACGATGGAGGCAAGGATGACACATTTCTAGCGTCACACCATGCACTTGGTACATTTCTAGATGATTTAGCACACGTCCTAAATAGCCCCAACCAAGAGGCATTTGCTCATGAAGACTGAAGAGATTGAATAAAATAATTATGTGGAGACAGAAACCTCGAGACTGTCGACAAGTGAGTACGAAAAATTGAGCCATCGATATGAGCGTCACTCACTACAAAAACATTGGCATTAGTTAATTGAGTGATAATTGATGCTAGAAAATAAGTCGTCTGCCAATTTATCAGACTGTGATTGGTTGTCTAATCAATTATCAGCTCGTCACTGTTACTGATTTATTGGGCAATTTGCATTACAGAATGATACATATTTGGGTAATAAGGGACTAGTGGCTAGTTAATGTGTGTGTGTGTGTGTGT